TGAACAACATATGAAAGAGAAGTGTGAGACGAGCGTCTGTTCAAAGCTGCGTAAAGAAGGGAGATAAGGCCCGGGGCACCTGGGTGCTGCTGGCAAAGCCGTTCAAAGGCAGATTTCTGATATGGGAAAGCAGAAGTGGCTCTCAGCGAAAGTAGCCAGTGCCGCAATTGAAGGTACCGAAAAAATTCCGCTGGGGGAACATCCCGAGACTCCCGAAGGACATTCCAGGCGGGAAAGGACCGAAAAATCAAAAAGTGTTGCACCTGTGAGAAACCATGAGCCACCCACCAAGAAAATGCCCTCGGGCAATCTAGACCCGGTGGGAAAAGAGGGTTGTTAACGATTGGAAGCAAGGGCAAAAAGGGTGACATCAGGCCACTGGAGTAACGTACCGAGTCCCAGACTTGTAGGCCATGGAGCAACATCGGACTCAGCGCCATAGGGCGCAGGGCAGGGGGAAGCCATAGGAGTGTCGACAGTGCAATAGGGGCACAATTAGGTAGTTCCAGCAGGACCCAGAGAGGAACATCGGAGGAAGCGTGCAACATAGACAGCGGGGCAATCTGGCTCGCCTGATAATACTTAGCTACATTGGGTACCCCAAGACCACCCTGGAGTCTATGAGCAAAGAGCGTATTTCTAGAGACTCTGGGGTGTTTAACGGCCCAGATAAAACGCATAAACTTCGCCTGAAGCAACCGAAGAAAGTGAGGGGGAACCCGCACCGGGAGGGTGCGAAAATAATATAACAATTTCGGCAAGATGGTCATCACTGAATTTCACTGAATGAACCCGTCCTATCCAAGACAGGTGCGGAAATTGCCAGGAATGCATAAGAGAAGATAAAGAGCTAAGCAAAGGATAATAATTTGCAGCAAAAAGGGAGTCATAGGTGGGGGTCAAGCGAATGCCCAAGTATTCCAGAAAAGAGGACAAGAGAGGCAATATTTTTAATAGGAACTTTAGAAAATATTATTTTTTTGAAAAATTAGCTGATGCTTGCAATAGACGTCTAGCAGATGTAGTACGTTAATCAACAGTAAGGGAAATGTGCGTGGGACAAACATAGTCGATTAAAACTCACAGAAAAAAAAAAATTAAAAGAAAAAAAACAGCCGAAAAATAAAAAAGGGGCAGGCTCAATGATCTACGTGGTATTTTTTTTTTTTTTTGTACTCTCTTATGTTTCTACAATGCAGGTTTCCTTCCACCAACTCATGACCTTTTGATATCTGTAGAAAAGCATAAATTACCATAAAAAAAAAAAAGCATAGAAAACAAAAATCTTTTTTTTATGCTCACATACCCTTTTGGAAATGCAAACATATACAGTACATTTGTATGTAATACAATTGTTATGCAATACATTGTTAATAGTACTAATATGAAATTTTGTCTACCACTTGCTAGTAACTAGGAGAAAACACTTTGTGTACATGGAAAGATGTATAAAATCGTTTGAGTCATGTACAGCTTCAATGAAGTAATGCGAGCTTAGACCAGGGGTCTCCAAACTTTTCAAACAAGGGGCTAGTTTATTTTACTGCAGACTTTAGGAGGGCCAGATTGTGGCCAGTGGGGGTAGAAAATGTACAAGGCCCAGCATTAGTGAAAATAAACATTGCATCAGGGTTGGTGGTCAGTAGGAGCAGGAGATTTCCCTGTCATTGGTATTGGTGGGAGTAAGAGTGCCCCATCATTGGTATTAGTTGGATGATTAGTACCCCATAATTAGTATCCCATCACTGGTATCAGTGGGAGGAATAGTATCCCATCACTGGTATCAGTGGGAGAAATAGTGCCCCATCCTATCATGGTTGTCCCCGTTGTTAGTCAATGGAGGAATAGTATCCCCATCATGGTATCAGTGGGAGGAATAGTATCCTATCATGGTATCAGTGGAGAAATAGTATCCCATCATTGGTATCAGTAGGAGGAATAGTTGCCATCATTGTATCAGTGGGTGGAATAGTATTCCATCATTGGTATCAGTGGGAGAAATAGTATTCCATCATTGGTATCAGTGGGAGGAATAGTATTCCATCATTGGTATCAGTGGGAGGAATAGTATTCCATCATTGGTATCAGTGGGGAATAGTATTCCATCATTGGTATCAGTGGGAGGAATAGTATTCCATCATTGGTATCAGTGGGAGGAATAGTATTCCATCATTGGTATCAGTGGGAGGAATAGTATTCCATCATTGGTATCAGTGGGAGGAATAGTATTCCATCATTGGTATCAGTGGGAGGAATAGTATTCCATCATTGGTATCAGTGGGAGGAATAGTATTCCATCATTGGTATCAGTGGGAGGAATAGTATTCCATCATTGGTATCAGTGGGAGGAATAGTATCCCATCATTGGTATCAGTGGGAGGAATAGTATCCCATCATTGGTATCAGTGGGAGGAATAGTGCCCCATCACTGGTATCAGTGGGAGGAATAGTTCCCATCATTGGTATCAGCGGGAGGAATAGTATCCCATCATTGGTATCAGTGGGAGGAATAGTGCCCCATCATTGGTATCAGTAGAAGAAATGTGCCCCGTTGTTGATGTCAATGGGAGGAATAGTGGGAGGAATAGTGCCCCATCATTAGTGTCACTGGCAGAATTATGCCCTACTGTTGGTGTCAGTGGGAAGAATAGTGCCCCAAGGGCCAGATAAAGGCCAGAAAAGGGTCTCATCTGGCCCTCGGGCTGCAGTTTGGTGACCACTGGTTTATACGGTTTCATACATCAGGATTTCAGTTTGCGAGAGAAGGAGCCTGCAGTGGATTAATTTAGGGATACATCTCCTATATGATAAACAGCAAAGATAAATTTTATTTCGTTATGGGTAGAGTAGGTAGGGTTCGACCTGTATTAGGTTTTAAATTATGTCTATGATCATATAGAAAATTTTTGCTTCCTGTTCCGACACCTTGCACAAGACAAGAAATGACTATAAATTTGCGTTTTGATTGGGTCGCAGAAAGCTCAAAAATAAGATAGCTTTAAAATATAAAAATATGATAAGTGTTTTACTTACTGTTGCCCATTGAAGGAGATGTCCACCTACTTACTGTTCTGTGTGAAGAACATTTAATAGAAATTCAGGATAAAGCTCCCAATATGGGAGCATGAACAGTAACTAAAGGTTGACAGAGGTTCCAACTCTTCCCTCTCTATCTCCCCCCCAAAAAAAAATAAGTAGCATGCTTTCATGTTTTATGGATTTATGATTTTTAAACATGTTTATTGGGATATGGACTGATGCCAACAGAAGTATTAGGGTGAAGCAGCCTCCTACATCATGACCATCTCATCTATTAAATGGCTTGTTCCATGTACCCCATCCATGGACCTCCTTGTCCTCTTGGGCCCAAAGGCAGTATATCTACTCCTGATGCTGAGACTTGCACTTTCTAAAACAGAAGAGCCTGCAGTTTGCACATTCCTGACTTAAATTATTCTTTTTTTTTTTTTTTGCTGTTAACATTCTCGATGAGCTGTTTTCTTTCTCAATTTTTTATAAAATGGAAATAAATATTTAATGAAAATATGCTTTCCTTTTGCAGTGTACCAGAGTAATGGCAAGTGGACACACAGTACAAATGGCTTTACCTTGTGAGTGTTTGTACAGCAGAGAAAAATGTTTTAAGGTAATCTTCCACGATAATAATGCATGACCACTGGAAAAAAGCATATCCAGGAAAAATGTAATCTGATATTACAACACTAAGAGAAATATGTATTTTACAGTAGTGTCGGTTCAGCTAAATAAATGGCAAAGCAATGTTTCAGTCATCGTAGGAAAAAAAAAACAGAGATAGCACTTTTCAGAGCATCTGTGGAAAAAATGCTGGATGATGTTTTAAACCTGTGTTCATCATACTATATGGTACAAAGTCAGAGTATGCTAAAATATGTTTGTGTTTTGTTTTTGCTTCTATAATCAGCTAAAAAGGTGAAAAATGGGTAGATTATACTGGAGTTATTTTTGATTGTTAGAGAAATAGTTTTAGTACTTGCTCAGTCTGCCTTTTATGTACTCAATAAGCAGATTTCACCATAGGGTGTAGCTCAACTCTGTGTTCCCAATTAGAAAATATGAGCCTTGGTCCTACAACTTCTTATTTTTCAGAAAGGGAAACTAGTGTATTTGTTTTAGAAAAACATATTGTAAGCTATTGCTTTTTTTGTTTCTCTGTTTCTTTTTTTTTTGCTCTGAAAGGAAATTTTCACAACATTTGTGATAACCCCCCAACCCAGTGAAAAATAAACAAATGATTTTGCTATTTCCTCAATTGGAAGCCACCTTTTAAATGTTTTAGGCATAAAACCTGGATATAAATGGTAGCACTTTGGCGGTACCAGTTTGATTAATTATATGGGGTTTTAAGTTTTTTTTATTATTATTATTTCTTGGGTAGCCAAGATACTATTAGTAGAAGTACTGAGAAAAGGGATGCAAATACTGGTGAGTACAAAAAAAAGGAAAATTGCAGACTCTTACAATTAACAGTAAAGGTTTTAAAAACTAGAAAACATATTTATATCTTATTAAACAATTTTGGCAGGACTTTAGGCTCTTTCCAGTCAGTCTGTGTTGCAGCATTCCTCTCTCCAATCTACCTCTATGTGCATAGAGTAGTAGCAGTAATCAGAAAGAGCAATTGGGAGTATAAATGATTTCTTTCTAGATAATCAGGGGAATGTATAATTAGTATGAATCAGTGGGGATGATTTGTCAAAGGCCAGTGGGCTTGTCACTTTACAAGGGAAGTTGCACTTGGGTAGGATATTCTCCCCAGAGCTTATTGAATGAGGTGAAGCATCATCCAATCACATGCAAGAAAAAAAAGTTGCTCTTTTTCCTTGTACATGATTGGGTATTCTTTGCTATTTCACCACATTTACCAAGCTCTGGAGAAAATTCCCTTGCAAAGTGCAACTTTCCTTGCAAAGCGAACACCCTTTTTCCTATTAGTCAACTCCAAATTGCCCATAGTCAGGCTGCCTAAAGAACTTGATAGTACAGAGTTGGGACTCTAGATTTAAACCAAAAAAGGTTGCATAAACAGATACATTGTGGTGCATGGGCAGCCCTTTTGGAATGATTTGGATGCACCACTGCGACCCTACATAATGCACTGTACCAGGGGCGTACTGACCATTTGGAAACTCAGGCACTGCCCGAGGGCCCGGGGTCAGTAGGGGGCCCCATGAGATGCCCCTGGTACCTTTTTCATAGGCTGAGTTCGGACAAGGACACAGGGGCCCCATGATCCCCTATTGCCCGGGGGCCCCATGAGTTGTCAGTCTGCCCCTGCACTGTACTGTGCATGCAGTAACATACCACAAAGGTCTGAATCCAGATTCAGTGCTCTAAAATGCCAAGTCCCTGATAAGCAGAATATTCTACACATGAGAGTGCCCTAATGCACATAATCAGTGTTTGAATGAAAAAGAAAGCCCTGTGCAAGTAAGCGCTGTGCCATTGTGCATGTTTTCATACTAACTTATAAGACTGTGTAGAGTCATACAATCCAGTTCTAGTTACAGTTTTATTTTTTTTAGAAATATTTTCTTACAATCTTGTCAATCTGTTATATAGGATTGCAGTCCTAATCAGAGAAGCAACTCTCCTTCACTGTATTATTGTCTCCTTAATCTCTGGTCATATTTTTTAGGCTGTTGAATGTGTGGCAACGAGCAAGAATGAGCAAGCAAAGTGACTCTTCTGTAGGAATCATTGGTGGCACAACATACTATAAAACAGAAATGTTACTGATATCTAGGTTTTTCCACTAAAATGGGGAATATGGGCTGCAAATATACAAGGTCTATGTGGTGAATCTCCATATGCAGCAGTGAAAAGACAGCGAATGATCTGCAAACTCCTTTCTATTAAACTCTTTTAGTGTTCTGTTCTGTGCACCAAATACTGAGGATTTCCAAGCACATAAAGGGTTTTCTATGGCTAGGTTCACATCTATGTGTTAGTGCATTTGCCGATCCACAGAAACGCACTACAATCTATTTAGCCTTATTTCCTATGGGTCCCGTTCACATCTATGCAGTTTTCTGCAATGGGGTTTATTTACTAAAACTGGAGAATGCAGCTCTGCACAGAAACCAGTCAGCTTCCAGGATTTATTGTCAAAGCTTAATTGAACAAGCTGGCATAGAAGCTGATTGGCTACCATGCACAGCTGCTCCAGATTTTGCAATCTCTGGTTTTAGTAAATCAACCCCAATATGTTTTTGGAAAGGTGCAGGGACTTTTTTTACATGCATTTTTTAGCTCCAAAGGCTTCAATGGAATTGCATAAAAATGCAAAATGTACATGCCTTTTTGGTACTTCCTAAAAGATGCAAAACACATCAAAAAGACACATGAATAAACACAAAAGAAGCCACAAAATGCATCAACCACATATGAATAGTTGTGAACCTAGCTTAAACCATCACAGACTGTCACTCAATTACAAACTTCTTAAAATAAAGATCTCTTGTTAAAACTGGTAACATTTTATTAACTTACTTGCTAAATGTGGTGCTTGGGTCAGTATTCCACAGTCAGCAATAGGCAGACCCCTAGGCTACAAGCACAATTGTAACATTTCTAGTTGGGAGCAGTGGAGACATTGGGAGCATGTGCAGGCGAGACCCAACAAAATAGGCAATTAATCAAGTATACAATTGAGCATTTCAGGACCTTACTTTACAATATCAGATTTTCCAGAAGTATGGAGTTATGCTTTAAATGCTCATGTTCCTACCAGCAATTCCCATTATTTGTTGCAGTCGTGATTTCTACAAGGAGCGTATTTTTTAGAGAAGAAGGAATATCTGCAAAGAAAAAAAAAAGTACATGGCTGGAATTAATTAGGGGAAAAAATAAATGGCAGATGTCCCGTCTCATTCTTGGTAGCCTCATTGTTTTGTGGCGAGTGGTTGGGAAATCTGCATTGTAAAGTTAGCCATTGTTTATTTCTCTTGTAAGTATGTGAAAGGAATAGTTGTACTTACCATGTCTGTGTCTGCATTATGACTCAAGCTGACACCTTTGACAGTCACATAGTATTAGCCAGATGGCAGGGAGCTGTGCCGCTGAAATGAAACTCTGACAAGCAGCCAAATGATTGGGAAAATGTCTAGAAACAGTTAAGAGCAGAAATTCTGTGCCCACTCCTTCAGGAAATGCTGCATGTATGACCATGTTTTATTGTTATTTATTTCTGTTTTGTAGATTTGATTGGTGCTTTATAATTTTATCAGTGTTTAATTTCCACCATTTTTTTTTAAAGATTTAATGAATGCAATTCAGGCCTAGAGCTGTAAACTTTGTTAAGAATTAAAAAACATTTTGTTTAATCCGGTTTTACCTTTATTTTTAACCTTGGACAGTTATATAAGTGAAGTAACACCCCGGTCACACCGGGTGCAACTTGACACATGATTTGCTATGCCATGCGAGTTGAAAATTGCATGACAAGTCGCACCCTATTGTCCGAATTAAAGCGGTCATATAGGTGTGATTCTGACTAGGTCGGAGACGCACTGATTTCTAAAGTAGTGCATGCACTACTTCAGGTGCAACTTGCATAGACATCTGTGTCTTGCAAGCCGCGGATGTCTTACAAGTCGCACCTCAAGTTGGAATGACACCCCACTTTGAAATCGTGCGACTTCACTGGAAGTCGCATGATTTCAAAGTTGGATCGGTGTGAAGGGGGTGTTATGATTTATATGTGTAAGTATGGATTTATTATGCTGAAACGTATGGATTTATTTATACTGTAACATTATAAATAGCACAGGAAAGCAAATCTAAAATCTACTATTAAAATAATACATAACATACTTGAAAAAAGGTAGGACACCTGATTAGCAGAACATAGATTTTATACATAGGCAGTGGTGTAGCCAGGATATCACTTGTAGGGTTAAAATTGCCTGGTATCTATTTTGTGACTGTTAATTTTTTTGTGTCTGTACCTGACTTCAAGTACAAAGGGTACTGTATGGCATTCTAAACAAGTATCAATTCCATTTGGATGCACAACCTGTATAAAGTAAACCAAAGAAATAAAATGTCCTTTAATTTCCCTGATTGAACCACATTTTCCTTTATTCGTGCCTTACACCTCTCCTCTCGCAGCTCCCATTAGGAGGATTTCAGAGGCAGTACAGTCAATCCAGAAATTAGGGGGCAAGACTAGGTGTGGCCACATACTGAGTGAAGAACTACAGGCCTGTGAATTAAAAGTGACAATGCTTATTCCACTGTAAATGTGATGCATCTGTATTTTTGTATTAGACTTTTTCTAATGATGTACTCTGTACTGTTTATCACTTAAAAGTCTTCTATACTGTACACAGTGAAAATTGTTAATTATTAAAAAAAAAAGAAAAAAAAGAAAAAAAGTGGCAATGCTACCAGCCATGCTCTCTACAAAATTTTCTCAACCCATTGTCATACAAGCAGGTATAACCTACATAAAAGTGGCAACTCTACTTTAAATTCAGGAGCAATGCAGCATAGTCACCACCCCATTAAGGGAAGCTGCATTAAGTGGCTTTCACTGGCAGGCTTAACACTTATTTGTGGGACTTTGCAAGGGGACTAAGGAAATACTGTTAAATGAAAAAACATACAGTAATTGGTGCAGCATGGCACCCCACAGAATCTTCTCTTGTGGCTCTGTGTCACATATATGCTGACGCCATGATCTGGCCCCATTGTACCAATTGTGCCATATTTACTTTGATAGATATTTGAATTGATACATTACACTTTTCAGTCCCATTCACATCACTGAGTTAAAGTAACTTGCATTGGTGTGCTGTGGTACAGGTAATTTTAAATAGCTCCCCGAAGCACTAGTGTTGCAGTGCACAATTGTGGTGCTGTGTACTAAAATGTAACAGTTGCGATTTTAAGTACAACGTTGAACATTGGTCCCTTTAAAAGGAATTGGCAGCCTGCAGATATTAAAGGCTTACTTTTTTTTTAAATAACAAACACATCATACTTACCTGCTCTCTGCACTGGTATTGCACAGAGCAGCCCCGATCCTCCTCTTCTTGGGTCCCCTGCCGCCACTCCTGGTCTCTCCCTCCTGTCGGGTGCCCCCACACCAAGCAGCTTGCTATGGGGGCAAGCGCTGCTCCATGTGTCCATTCACTCATTGGCTCCCGCTGCTTTCTAAGCCAATGAGGAGAGGGATTCCCAGGACTGCTGAGACTCCGATGAACATTGCTGGAACAATAGGGGGCTTAGGTGAGTATAAGGGTGGGCTGGTGGAGCTGCTGTACAGAGAAGGTTCTTTACCTTCATGCATAGACTGCATGAAGGTAAAACACCTTGAGCCTTTATAACTCCTTTAAAGCAATGGACATGTGTTAAGTGCACCACAAGAGATTGCCCTTGTTTGAATGGGCCCTTGGCTTTTTTATGCATAGTTTGCATTTACATACAGTGATCACCTGCAGATTTTAGGTCTAAAATTTTTAACATAGGTGTATTTAAAATGATAGAGACAGAATATCAACCAAAAATCCAGAAAAAAGCACATGATACAAATGTTATAAATTGAGTTGCAGTTTAGTGAGTAAAATAAGTATATGATCCCCTACAAACCAACAATAATTCTTGCTCCCACAGACTGGCTATGTGCTCATGTGGAACACAGATTAGTCCTGTCAATTTAAGAAGGTGCTCCTACCGACAACCTGTTATGTGTATTAAAAACACCTGTCCACAGAATCTCTTTCTTCCATTCGAACCTCACCATCATGAGCAAAGAGCTGTCAAAGGACATCAGGGACAAGATTGTAGACCTGCACAAGGCTGGAATGGGCTACAAGACCATCAGTAAGAAGCTTGGCGAGAAGGAGACAACTGTTGGAGCGATTAATCGCAAATGGAAGAAATACAAAATAACCATCAATCACCCTCAGTCTGGAGCTCCATGCAAGATTTCACCTCATGGGGTAAGGATAATCATGAGAAAAGTGAGGGATCAGCCCAGAACTACACGAGAGGAGCTTTTGAAAGCTATCAAGGCAGTTGGGACCACAGTCACCAAACAAATCGTTGGTAACACAATACACTGCTATGGATTGAAATCCTGCAGCACCAGCAATGTCCCCCACCTCAAGAAAGCACATGTACAGGCCTGTCTGAAGTTTGCCAATGAACATCTAAATGATTCAAAGAAAGATTGGGAGAAAG